CGCCTTGGCTTCCCCCGATCCCTCCTCATTCAAATTTACAAAATATTATTCACCAGCACTCTCATCTACGGAATCTCGGTGTGGGGCTCCGCTCCCCCACCTCTCTTTCTCCGCTTGTAATGTGCCAGAGAAACGCTCTCAGAGCTGTACTTGGCCTACGTCAACGCTCCCCGATCTCCGCCTATTTTGCCAAGTTCTCCCTACTCACTCTCGCCGACTTCCACCATTATCGCCTTATGTGTCTCGCCTACCTGGGCTCCCGTGGCCGCCTCCCACCCCCTATCCATCTCCCTTTCCGCCCCCTTACCTCTGCTCGCCGGCATAGCCCTCTCGACTTTTCCCTACCCCCTATTCGGTCCGATTTCGCACGAGCCTCGCCGCTATATCTCATTCCAACCATCTGGAATGCTTTACCCCTAGATCTCCGCACAACTGACCGTTACCCCACCTTCAAAAGATTACTTAAAGCCTACTTGATCGCCCGTAGCCCTCCCAATCTAACTCAAACCTAGTGTTCACCATCATGCCTCTCCTCACAATTCCACCATATATGCGGCCTTCGCCTGCGTTTGGTTTGTTTGGTAAATAAATAAATAAATAAATAAATAAGGGTGTGTTTTCAGAGAGGCTGGGAAAAGTTCGTGGGTTCGTGCATCGCGTAAAAATGAAGAAAATGGTAAAGCCGGTACAGCAGAAGGTTCGGAGACTGCCAGTTGGAAACCGAGACACCGTGAAACGGGAGCTGGATGGGTTACTGGAGAGAGATGTCATTGAACCAGTGGAAGCATCGGAATTCATTCAGGAACGGTTGTGGTCGCCAAGAAGGATGGCAGGGTAAGAATATGCGTGGATCTGCGACAGGTCAATGAGAATATTGTGGTGGATGCGTTCCCGTTGCCTCACGTCGATGACCTGTTCTTGGAGTTAAGCGGGGCGAAGGTTTTCTCAAAACTAGACGCGTTGTCGGCATACCACCAGGTAGAACTAGCGGAGGAGTCCCGTGACCTAACGGCATTTATCACTCCGTGGGGGTTGTTCCGTTATAAGCGAGTGTGTTTTGGGATATGCTCAGCTCCATCGGCGTTTCGAATGATGGTTGAAATCTTACGAGGCTTACCGGGAGCGGTAATCTATCTCGACGATGTGCTGATTTTTGGAGGCTCTCGGCAAGAACATGACGTCCGGTTGACGGACGTGTTGCAACGAATCCGACAAGCGGGGATGACGTTGAATAAAAAGTGTGTCATAGGCACCGAAGAGATTGAGCTCGCAGTATTTACTGTCGACTCAAAGGGGATTCGACCGTGCGCGGATAACCTTAAGGCAATCGGGAATCTCAGAGAGCCGACGAATGCATCGGAGGTCAAGTCGGTCTTGGGCGCCGCGGGATTCTATCTGCGCTGTGTTCCTAATTTTTCAGACACCGTTGAACCGATGCGTAGACTATTACAGGCTGGAGCGGTGTTTCAGTGGGGAGAAGAGCAGTCCAGAGCATTCACGGAGATAAAAAAGAAAATCGTGACGGCATGCCCGTTGGCCATCTTCGACCCTAACCGAGAGATTATCGTGGCAACTGATACGTCCGATGTGGGGGTTGGGGATGTTCTCCTTCAACGACACAGTGTAGGGGAACGACCAGTGGCGTATACGTCGGCGTCATTAACTGCGACACAAGAAAATATTCTACCGGAGAAAAGGAGGCACTCGCGTTCCTGTTCGCGGTTGAAAAATGGCATGTGTTCCTGTGGGGTAGACGTTTCGAACTACGAACGGACCACCAGGCGTTGGTCACACTCCTGGGTGCCAAGTGAACCGGCAGAGCTCCTCTCAGGATCGGTAGATGGCTAGATCGGCTGCGCAACTACAACTTCGACGTCGAATATAAGGCGGGCGCCGCCAACTCCGTCCCGGATATGCTATCGAGATTGCCCTTTGGGGAGGCAGTAGAGGAACGTAGCAGTGACGAGTCGGTGGTTGCATTGTTGGAACAGAAATGCAGACCCTTAAGATGGGACGAAATCGCAGCAGAATCGGCCGCGGACCCTGAGCTCGTGCAAGTTAGGCAGTGGTTAGTTGAGAATAGACCCAAGGTTGAGAGTAGTTGGCGAAGTGTGTGGAATGAATTGTCGTGTGAAGATGGGGATGTGATGAAAGGTGACAAGATTCTTCTCCCGGAAACTCTACGAGGTCGAGCGTTCAGGATCGCACACGAAGACGCACATCAAGGAATGGTGAAAACGAAACAGCGGTTACGGGAAGCTTTCTGGTGGCCGCGAATGGACAAGTTCGTGGAAACGGCGGTCAAGGAATGCAGGCTGTGCGCGAATCATGACAAAACAGCGAGCTTCCCACCGGCTCCGTTGACGATGACGCCGTTACCGGACGAACCGTGGAGCAGGATAGCAATAGACATCCGCGGGCCGGATAGTTCGATTGGGGCCCGGAATCGTTTTGCGATTGTGGTGATCGATTTCTATTCGGAATGGGTTGAAGTGGAATTCGCGCCAGATGTCACGAGCAGCCGAGTAGTCAGCATGTTACGAAAGCTGTTCCACCGAGAGGGTGTGCCGGAGGTGATTGTCAGTGACAACGGCGTTCAGCTCGTGAGCCGGGAGTTCCGAGACCTGATGACAGCCTACGGGGTCAAGCATGAGAGGGTGTCCAATTATCATGCTCAGGCCAACGGTTTAGTGGAACGGTTTGACAGGACGTTGGGTGATTTCTGCACAACCGCAAAACTCCGCGGGGGCGATTTCAACGTACAGATGACACAGATGGTTGGAGCATACAACGCCACGGCCCAAACGACTACTGGAGTGGCACCGGCGACGTTGCTTCATGGGAGACCGATGCGTACGAGACTGAAAGTACAAGGGCAGCCCTGCTCCGATACGCCGGAGCCCGTCAACAAGACACTTCGTGAGCGAGTGGAGTATCGTCAACAGGCGCAGAAAGCCTACGCGGAGAAGAGACGATCAGCAAGAGTGCGAGTACACCCGTTACGAGTCGGTCAACACGTCCGCATCAAGAAACCGTCTGTTACCAAGGGTCAGAGCAAGTGTTCGGAGCCGAAGGAAATTATCGAACAAGTGGGAAAACACTCGTTCAGGCTGGAGGACGGGAGGAGATGGCACCAAAACCGGCTGTGTGGGTTCGCTGCCGGAGGAGTCGGTGGAGAGGAGATTACGACGACGGAGCGCCGAGGAGCATCGACGTCGACACCAACCAGAGGCGAGAGGAGTGCACCGTCGTCACCGAGCTTGGAGAGAATTCGGCCTGAGTCGCCGCTATCGTCGGCGGAAACGTCAGGAGACCGATCAGACCCGCCGTCACCATCACCACCGTCAGCGAACCGGAGCCCGACCAGACTGGAAAACCAACCGTGGCTGACGAAGAGACAACGATACAGTACTGACGGAAGCTCGTTCAATGAGGGTGACCACGAACGATTGTTATTAGACAGCGACTGTGATTCGGATTTAGAAGGGAGGGAGAGTGTAGGATTCATAGATACCGCGGTCTCTTAGATAGATAACGCCACCTGGCGGCAGTGGCCAGGCATACGAATATAACATGAATAAAACTTCCGAGCGAGCCGGAGATCCCAACCGCACTTGTGTCGTCACTCGAGTTCTAATATATTATACTACACGGCTGTGGATTTCATTTCAACCAGGCTTTGTGGCGTCATATTCAGAGTGACTCCGAGCTTCGAGAACGATACTAATGCTGTGACGACTTCGCGCTGCAAACGCGAATGTTCGCAGCGATGGCCTTCGTGCCTGTCGGAGACGTTCACGAAATGTTCGGTTTTCTCTTAGCATCTGATTTCGTTCGAGAGAACATCGAAGTGCTCACAAAGTTCATAGATTATTTTGAAGGCACATGGATCGGCCGCGAACGGCATCCCCCCATAATGAAACATAAATGGTGGAATTACGCTGTCGCTATGAGTAGTATGCGCCGGACGAGTAATGATATTGAGGGCTGGCATTCTGCGTTTGCCGGTCGCTCGGGTGCTCAGCATCCCTCCTTTTCCAAACTCGTGAAATGCCTGAAAGTTCAACAAGGCAAGACAGAATTCATAGTGTCGAATTCGCAGGCTCAAGGTCGAATCAACTCGCGGAAGAAGATTTACAGGGACCGGACGAAACGTTTGAAAGAAGTCGTTGAGTCGTATGAGAAACGTGATCCTCTTAAGTATCTGATAACGATCGCACACAGCATTCGTTTCTAGCTCGATGTAGAATGTAGAGAATGGAGATGAATATATCGCATGAAGACCTTGTTCATGTTGCCGAGAGAAAGCGTAGTTTGAAGCTCTCAAAGCGAATAGATTAATATTGTGGACCTCCAATGGAGATACTATCATCATTATTATTCTTCCCTTCTTGATGCGATTAGGATTAGGCAAGATTACACTGAAATAAAACAAGATTACTCTGAAATTAGGCGCATTCAGGCGATTTTGAATGCACTCAGGCGATTTCAGGCGCATTTAAACGATTTTAGGCGATATTAGGGGATATTAGGGGATATTAGGCGATATTAGGCGATTTTAGGCGACTTTAGGCGATATTTGGCGATTTTCGGGGATTTTAGGCGATAATAGGCGATATTACGCGATTTTAGGCGATTTTAGACGATTTCAGACGATTTTAGCCACATTTAGAAACATTTACGCGCACTCCGACAAATTCACGTGCATTCAGAAAAATGCATTCAATTATTGTGTGTATAATATAGCTCAATTAGCCCGATGCCACACCATTGAGATGAGTCAATGAATGAATGAATGCGGCAACGGTTTCCATCCCTCGCGACGTGGACGCTTGAGCTCAGTGAGGGACAAAAATTTTTGGGCCATAAACCCTTATCACGACGGCGAACAGACAATGGAGAGGAGGGATAGCATATTCACAATGGAAAGAATTAGAATATTTACAACAACAATAGAGAGAGAGAGAGATATGATATTTACAATGAAGCGAACTATGATATTTACAATGATTAGAATGAGATTTCTTCTTCGATTTTTCCTCGAATTTGATTTTTTTTGAGTTTTTTTCGCAATTTGAATTTCTTTGGATTTCCCTACAATTTGAAACTGTCGGGCTTTCCTTTCAAAACCAAACTTTTTTATGAATTTTCGCATTTTGAGCTTT